GGGTGGTATCGGGTCGGATTCGGGTTAACGGGTTTCGATGCTGATGTGGTGTGTCTTGATTGGTGAGAGGACGTGTTTAAGGGGTGGGTGGACTGGACTGGACTGGGACTTCGGAACAGACTCGCGGCTAATCTAATGTTGGGTTGTTTAGATACGAGCCCCTTATATCTTCTATTATTGCATGTTAGTCCCTCAGATCCTATAAGGTCTTGCAAAATGGTCCATCTATTAGTATTTTAGTTTAAAAAAACCTAATCATGGTCGGGTTAACTCCTAACCCAAAATCTGCAATCATCAAACCACTCTCTCTGATGCTTCGACCCTTGTGAAGCTCAACTTTTGATCTGTTTTTGTGCTAACCATTGGTGAACAAGAACTCACGCGTGTTTGGATTTATTTTAAGTGGATATTGAGTTTAAACCCATCAAGAAATGAGTTGAGGAACCATTTTGCAACGCCCTAAGGAATTTGAGGGACTGACATGCAATTATTAAAGTTTTAAGGGACAAACATGTAAATTTTCAAGATTTTAGGGACTAATATGTAGTTATTGAAGATTTAAGGGGCCAGCATTTTCTATGATACGTATGTATATGTGCCGATGAGATAGTATTTCATTTGTAAGGGATATGAAAATTGTTCGTCTATATTCAATTTGATAGTTCATAATAGATGATTTATCATTTATGTACGGTTTTGTACTAGCCAATGACAAGTTCGTTTTAGTTTATAATTAACTTTTCATTGGATGTAATATGAGCTTTTTCCTTTTGAGTTAGGGGATTGGCTATAAACAATGTAACAATCAGTTTTGGACTATGTAAGCATGACTCCGGGGTTTAGTTTGAATCTCTCGTCCTGTTTTTATATATACATAAAAAAAAATCATTAATTAACATCTTGTCTCTTGGCTTTTTTTAAAGAATACGTAGGAATATGATAATATTTCGCTGAATATTCTACGTTGAATTTGTGCTCAACAAGTGTTTTTATTCCTATAAATTTACTATTAGAAGAAAAGCAAGTGGCATCGCTCGAAATTCATTGTTGTGTTGAAACACCGTCGTATTGCCATACATACGGTTTTATACTAATGTGAAAATACGGTTTTATTGTTAATTTTTCTATATTGTATTGTATTATATATGATCGGTTGCATGGGTCACTTACCGTCAAATTGTTCTCATGGACAAATGCGATAACCTGCTTACTTTGACCGAGCTGTTATTTTATGTGTACGTTACACTACGCCTTGATTCTCATTTGCTCATTATAGCGCGTGCGACACATTTTTGCTCTATTATTGGTTATTTTCAGTACCAAACTATCAAAAACCTTTAAACTGGCAAATGAATAATCGGAACAAACAAAAAAAACGTGGAAATGAACCCTGTATCTTTTTACTATTTCAGATCTCAGTGTGAAGACAAATCAATTATTTATGCATTAAATATTGCTGGTAGCATGTAATCAGAAATTTTAAATGTTAAGAATCGGGCGGGGGCCGCGCGTGCGCGTACCCCATCAGCAACGAACATTGACGACCACTCTCCCGCGCAGGGTGCAATGTGGGCCACTGATCTAGGCCTGGGCCTTCTTGATCACCCAATCACCCCGTCGATGTAAGTATGGATCTCCGCAAGCCCACCTCCTCATTTTGTACCCCTCTCAAGCTCTTCGACTGCTCTGGGACTAAACTCTCCAACTCTCTCTCTCTCTGACTCTCACTCTAAATTTTAACTTACTTACTGATATCCAGTTGGGCTCCAAAAGGGAGATCCAATAAACAAAGCCCACTCTGTCATGTAATCCCAGCAAAGTGGCCTCAAATACCATGGCCCATTAACCCGATCGCAGAGCCTGGGAACTACCCCAAGAGAAGGGAGTGAGAACCGCGAGAAGGGGAAAAGAAACTGAAAAAAAAAAAAAAAATTCAGAGACCAGGAGCCACGTGAAAAAGGATTCTTCAGCTTCTCCCTGCATAGAAACAAAGATCGCAAGTAGGTATTCGATCGAATTTTATATATTCCTCATTTCCAACTCAAAACAAATGTGTGTTTGACCTGCTACCCAAATTCCGAGCATATCCCATTTTCTTTTCACCATGGCTCTCTCTTCCCAACTCCTCTCTCCTAATGGAGCAAAACCCATCAATTTCTCCTCGAAAGTGCCTCGCCCTTCAATTTGCAGACGCGGGTCTTCCTCCTTTCGTCCCAAGACCCAATCCAAGAGAAGCCCATTTGGTAGGATTCTGGCTTCTGGGTCATCGGAATCTGGAAGGAGACAGCTTGAGGTATGTCCTCTGAATTCAGTTTGATTTTTTTTTTGGGGTAATTTTGGATTAAAATAAATTTCGCTTGTTTTTAGGTAGTTTACGACCCAGAGGACAGGATTAATAGACTGGCAGATGAAGTGGATAAGAACGCTAGCCTTTCTAGACTCAATCTCTTCTCACCTTGTAAGGTAATTATAAAGTAATAACCCTGTTGACAGCACAGGTTTTGGCTTAATTTGAGATGTTAATTCAGACTAAGTTCACTTTCGTGTATTTTTATTTTCTGTTGATGCAGATTAATGTATTTTTGAGGATTACTGGTAAGAGGGAAGATGGGTTCCATGATTTGGCTTCGCTGTTCCATGTGAGTCTTTACAATGGGTTTACAAAATTTTGTAGGGACGACTAAAGGTTTGAGATGACGATATACGTTCTCACAGAAATTTCCAAATTTCAGGTAATTAGTTTAGGAGATACAATCAAATTCTCCTTATCTCCAACTAAAACTAGAGATCGTCTGTCGACAAATGTGCCTGGAATCCCACTTGATGATAGCAATTTGGTAAGGAGCAAGATTGCATCTTTAAGTTGTTCATCTTTCCATATTTATCTTTTAAACTTGCTGAGAGATTTTTATATTTTCATACAAATTTTGGGTTTCTATCACTTCTTTGCAGATTATTAGAGCACTTAACCTGTATAGGAAGAAGACTGGAACTGATAACTTCTTCTGGGTACAAGTTTTAAATTGAAATTTCTGTCCAATAAATCTGTTAATCCACTAATTTTACTGGAATTTGATGATTAAAATTCGACACAACATGTAGATTCATCTTGACAAAAAGGTTCCTACTGGTGCCGGGCTTGGTGGTGGGAGTAGCAATGCTGCGACTGCGTTATGGGCAGCCAATCAGTTCAGTGGTAGTCTCGCTACAGAAAAGGACCTTCAAGAATGGTCAGCTGAAATTGGGTCCGATGTTCCCTTCTTTTTCTCTCATGGAGCAGCTTATTGTACCGGTAGGGGTGAGGTATGCTAAACACTGATCATTTGGATGAATATATACATATGTTTTAAATGCTAGTTTATACCTAAACTACTAGCATTTGGTTGTAGAGCTCACATATAAATTAATGGAGTAAGATTTAAAAAACAATAAAAACAAGATTCATATGGACCGTTGGCAATTATGATTTTACAACATTTTAAGTAATCAACAACTACACAATCCTGTACACACTGATATCAATATGTGCTCATATGGGTGTGTTTGAACTTTGCGTGTATATGCCTGTATGTGTATGCTACCTTAAGTTTGTGGGATATGCGTGATGTGTTGAGATTATATTTGTGTTAGACTATATCGTTTTAATCTTGTTATGACTTTGAGATTGCGATGTATTGAAGGAATTTAAGACGGTGCCATAGGTATCTAGATTCAAATCTAGTTGGAACCGTGTGTTTTTTGCTTCATTTTTGTTGATTTTCTCCTTGATGTGTATCTGGCGTTTTAGGTAATATAACGCATGCAAATTCATTGTACTTACAAACATTGATTTAATGTAAGTAACAAGTAAACAAGGATCATTACCTGCCTGACTTCCACCTTGTCCATAGACTGATAGACTTCATACTGATATGTTATTTAGTTCATGCACCTTTTAAGAGTCGCTATTTTTCCGCAAACATATGCATGATCAGGTAGGTATCTTATATATCATTCCATCAGTACATGCCAAAAAATTTTGCAGGTTGAAACTTCAGAATGACATGGATTTTCTTTTTGCGTAATATCCTCCAATTGCATGGTTTATTAATCTTTTTATGTTGATTCTTGGACACTAATATTTAATATCATATCAGCAACTGGTACCCACATCATTATTATTTCAGCATTTGCCAATTAGGATGTTGTAGCCTCTAGAGCGCACCTTCATATTGTAACAATAAATACAAATATGATGAAATGTAATGAGTGTCTGACTGCAGCACGCTCTACAAGGTATTGTCAAATTAGTGGTCAAGAAAACTATAGGACAGAGATGATTTATGCTAACATCTATTAGCCTTATTGACAGTTAGATATATCTTACCAGTTATGCAACTGGTTTGATATATGGGCATGGATAGAAGACAAATTGTAGTGTTTTATTTATTTATTACAAAGTCGATAGACAAACTGAACAAGGACATACATATGTCCTCAAGCATTACGAAGAATAGTTTTGAGTTTCAAGTTTCATAAAGTATAACAATGATATAAAGACCTTTTTCCCAGCATAAAGATAAGCAAGATTACTATGCTCTGGTGTCATTTTAGTGACTCTTGAACTCTCATTCCTTTCCGAAGAAATATTACAATCAGCTATTGCAGAACATGAAATGGTGCAACCTGAACAAAGTGGCATAACTAATTCTTAAAAAATTAGGTACCAGCTCATGGTAACATGGATATTTTTTTTAATAAACGATAACATGGATATTTGTTCATGTGCATATGTCAGTTAGCAACATCAAACTTACTAGTGAAGGCAATATGTGTTTTAGAGTTGAAAAGAAAATATGAATATAATCTTTGTGATTTCCGTAGCTTCTAATCAAGCAACTAATGAAAGAATATCTGCATCTAGTCTGATATGCCTAACACAAGTCTATGAAGCCAGATGCATGTTTCTAACATGGTTAAAAATCTTGAGCATTGTAGCCTTTTATCTAAAATTTCATTTTAAATGTAGATATGCAAATGAATCGTGGTATCAGGCACACAATATTTTGGTTTGTAAAAATCAGATATAGTTTCTGAGAGTCCAATGCATGTGAGAAAAATGTCAGTGTCTGATGCAGAAGTGCGAAACACTCTAATTGACTTGCACCCATTTTGTCTTAGGGTCTGGCCTCATCTTTTGCCTCGTTTTTGTTGATTTGTCATGAACCTTTCAGCGCAACCTCCAGCCTAGCAAGATCTGATAAAAAAAAAAATATTGAGGGTAGCATTTTGTCAGCTGCCACATTCCATACGCTTAAAATCAAGCTATGAAATTAATCCAAGTAGGTTTTCTGCTCAAGAGATTTCACATCCTTGTGTGTTCCTGTTACTTTTCTCACCGGATCTTCACAATTCACTCCTTTATATTTATATCCCCTCTGAATTCTTGACCTTGTCATTGTATTCTCACCATTCATTCAACAACCTTACTGAAGTTTTTCAACTTTATATGCTTTGATTCTTCTTGTTTATGGGTGGTCTGACCTAAAGAACCCTACATCTCTTCTATTTTGATCTACTTCCTATAGTCATATCCTAAAACATTAACGAGATTCTGCAACCTTGATGTAGTTTCTTGGAAAAGAGAAAAATATGTGATCGTGTAGCATTATAAAATGTTAATATGTCATTATGTACCACTTAATATGCATTACTAAGTTGGAAATATACGACTTCAATTTATCATATAAGTTATTTCCTCTTAACTCTATCTGCACAAGGAATTTCCTAAGCAGATATTTGGATAGGTTGTGATTGCTATCTCGTTAATTTGTTGAACCTTCAAAGTCATACCACCATTCTCCAATTACACTATAGCAAAATTATGCGTTATGCAAATTCTCGCTGCAAAATTGCCACAATTTTGCTTCTTCTTTTGCTATCGTTCATGTTTAAAATGTGGATCTAATCCTCTTCTTTATTTTTTTAGATTGTTGAAGATATTCCACGCCCAATACCCTTGGACTTGCCAATGGTTCTCATCAAGCCCCGAGAAGCATGCCCAACAGCTGAAGTTTACAAGGCAGGCGAATCCTAAATCAGTAATTTTTCATTTTCGAAATGACCAGATTATATAATGTCTCTTTACTTATACAAGTCCAAATATGCAGAGATTTCGGTTAGATCAAGCTAGTTCTGTTGACCCTTTGGCCTTGCTTCAGAAGATCAATGAGAATGGAATATCTCAAGATGTTTGTGTGAATGATTTAGGTATGGCATCAGATGTTCTTTGAAATTGTTCAACCTTCATATTGTGGGTGCTCTTATATTAATGTTCTTTGTTAAAGGTGTTTTTTTATTTGCTTAATTGTTCCTCTCCGTAGAGCCTCCTGCTTTTGAAGTTGTGCCATCTCTGAAGAGGTTGAAACAACGTGTGCTTGCAGCTAGTCGTGGAGAGTATAATGCTGTTTTCATGTCAGGAAGGTAAGAAATAGGATCTTTTCCCCTTAAAAATAATAATAATAACAAAGAAAAAGAAATAAGATCTTTAGTCATAGTAGGTAGGAGTTCAAAAAAAAAAAATAATAATAATAATAATCTAGTTCTTTGATATCTTCTGTTAGACAAGATCATTAGTCATAGTAGGTGCCTAAGATATGAAGGATACCAGTCCAATGTAATTTTTTACTATAATATTATCTTTTCAAAACGTTATTAATCTTTTGAACTACGATGGCTACTCATAGCCTTATCATTGTTTTTTGAGGCACTAGTGCTAATACTATCAAATATTTTTGAGCAGTGGAAGCACAATTGTTGGCATTGGTTCACCAGATCCCCCACAATTCATATATGATGATGATGACTACAAGGATGTGTTTCTATCAGGTATGGAGTCTGAGATTTCTTTAGTTTGTATCGGTCGATTAGGTAAGCATAACCACTCCTTAGGTAATTTTTAAACAAATGATGCTCATGCACTGAAAGTCGATTAAAGGATACTTACTAATTAAACTACACTCTCCAGACTACTTCACACAACTACATTAAGTGTGGTGATCTTCCACTTGGATTGCCATGAAAATTTTAGTAGTGAAGGAGAGTACTTTGGGAAAGTGTATTGTATTTATCACTGCTCTAGATAAAATTGTTAACTGCTTTCTCTTCTTCAACTAGATAATGTAGTTAGTAACTTAATTGGCCAGGTGACTGAATTCATGCATTGCACCGAGGAAAATATGAAGTTGAGAAATTCTTACGATTATTAGCAACGGGCTAGACGCAGGCTTTAAGAGGGGTTGATTGGAAGGAATTAAGAAAAATCTAATGATATAGTTAACTTAACCGAGGAGATTAAACGTAATGGAATGTAATTGAAGAATAGGGTTTAGGTAATCGAACCTGAAAAAATTTGGGATAAAGCCTTTGGTGTTGGTGTTGTACTGTTTTTTGTGTCTTAACAATTTTTATTATTATCTGATGCAGAGGCCTCCTTTCTCACTCGCCAAGAGAATCAATGGTATACAGAACCGAGCTCATCGCCTGCAAGTTCTTTTACCAAGGAAGAAGCGTCCAATGTGGAGTAGAGGTGGAGTAGAGGAGTTCTGAGGAACTGAAACCTTAATTTTTGCAAAGACGTTGTATGCTCAGTGCTTGTGGAGTGACATTCGTGTGATCAAAGCGAAACAATATTTTTCTCCTTTTGCTGTTGATTTCTGACGTTATATTCTCCTGACTAACAAACGCAAGAGTGCTGTGTACAGAAACCATGAGTTAAGCAGCTGCAATTCACTGGTAATATTGGTGAAAGTGATGTGATATTTTGACTTGTGCGCAATATATCAGTGATCATTTTGTTTGCCAGAAGAAAAAAAAAAACATAAACCACAAATTGGCTACGCAGCAGATCGAGATGACCCAAATTGCCCACCCTTTGAAACTTTACTTACATTCAGGTACACACTGAGCTATCTTTTATTACACATGTGACCTCGGAGTTTGTGATTCTATACGAGCGGGTGATCCTAGAGTCCAGATGAAAACTAACTCCCAAAATTACCCATGTAACTACAGTCAATAAACATCAAAATCAATAAACATCAAGGTTATCAATATAGATACATGGATTTAGAAGACGAATCTGAGGGGAGTCATAATATCAACGTGTCAGTAATTATCAAAAAAGAAAAAAAAAAGAAAAATGATTTAAGGACCCAAAATATTAGACTAAGGGAGGGGACATGTGAGGTGTCCCCTCTCTATTGCATAATAAGTTGATCATGCCAACTCATGTTAACTCATTATGCAATAGGGAGGAGACACAGCACATGTCAGTAGAGAACCAAGTCGTGCGTTATAAATAAATAAAACGGATATGAGCCATTACTGTTATTAGGTGGGGAGTTAAGGCGGTGATTAAATTATATTTAAAAAATCCCGCCAGCCGTGGACACGCTGCATGTTTGCCGACGCCCGTCGTGGGCCAGGCCCAGCCGGGAGCAGGAGGAGCGGGGCCCTCGTCGCCATCAATCCATTAAATCGTTTCTAATCCATTAATAAATCCTTCGCGTTGAAGTAGTCTTCAACTGCCAATCGAGCCCATAGACGATGACTCCACCGAGGCTAAAGGCAGTAAGTGACCACTTTGCCCCCAAGTGATAATGCATGGATTCGCAAAAATCTGAATTCCGCTAGGCTTCCCTATGTATATATATATAGATTGTTTTGGAGAGTTTTAGTCCTCAAAAAATCTTTTTTTTCAGAATTTCCAGTGATAATGGATTCGGAGGAGTCGTGCGATGGAGAGGCGGTGTGCGGGATGCCCGGAGGGATCCAAGATAGGAGGATGGGAGAGAACGACGCTGAGATGGAGGAGCTCGGTCGCTTCGCCGTCGACGAGCACAACAAGCAGCAGGTAAAGAGTACTAACGTACAAGTTTTAGTTATGTTCTCAGAACATTAATAATATGTCAATATGTACAGTATATATAGAATGAAAAATCATAGTTATTTGGGGGAGGAAATTGGATCTTCTTCTTTTTCTTCTTGCTGGGTAGGTAGTTTGTGAAGAAAAAAAAAACCCAAAATAAAAGTGTGCGTTTTCAAACTACGTAACAAGTATTTTTAAGATATTTTAAAGATATTTAATTACCCTCCTACCCCCCGTGGCTTGCGCCCCCGAGGTGAAGTAATCTATCTGCTCGATACAACGGCACACGAAAAATCAAACTGACGCTATATTCGGGAGAAAATGAATGCATAATATCTAGATTTTTAAAGGGATGAGGCCATCACTTCCTTATTATTTGGTCGCTTTGGTTTGCTGCTCCGCGCTTCTGTTCGTTTCCTGCGTCTCGATCGATCGCCTTCGAGTTCATCGAGGAAGAGAGAGAAACATGGTTGGGGGTGTTCGTGAATCATCCAAGGGGGGGATCGAGAACAGCGCTGAGATCGAGGACCTCGCTCGATTCGCCGTCGACGAGCATAACAAGAAGCAGGCCTCTCTCTCTTTGCTTTTTTTTTTTACTTTCTTTTTTAGGAGATTGTTGTTTTTCTTTTTGAGGAGGAAAAAAAAGGGATTTCTTAGGGTTTTACTATTTTGTACAGGTATCTTAACAAGTGGGCTGCTTGGTGTGCTCCTCATATTTTATTTATTTTATTAATCTGTTGATGGCGTTCATGGACCCTTCAAAGTTTCATTTTTTTAAAAAAGAAATTTTTTTTTTGAAGGTCGCCACAACTTTTGTTTTATGGATCGGATTGTTATATGCTCTATCTAGATCAGTACAAAGCCACGAGTCATATAATTTAGGTATTATTTTTGATTGTCTGAGAACGAAGCCCACGAGAGAACACTGTCCTCTAGAATCCAACCTTTGAGAAATTACAGTCACAACAAAAGGGGCCAAAAAAAAAAAGGAGAGTCAGGAGCGAAGAGTAGGAGGAGCTCAAAATCTTTTCCTGACCCATTTCCTCTCAATTCCTTTTCCATAAACTTCTTTTAAAAAAAAAATTTGACAACACAAGAGTGGCTGGAAAGCTGACTGTTTTTGCTTTGATTGCAGAATACGCTTTTGGAGTTTGCTGGCGTGGTGAACGCAAAAGAGCAAGTGGTTGCAGGAACAATGTACTATCTGACTGTGGAGGCCATTGAAGGTGGGAAGAAGAAGCTTTATGAGGCCAAGGTCTGGGTTAAACCATGGCTCAACTTCAAGGAGCTCCAGGAGTTCACTCCCCTTGCCGACTCCTCTTCCGGTGCCACTGCTGCTGACCTTGGTGCCAAGCAAGGTAATGTTTTTAGATTTATTGTGTGCCTAAGTTGTTATTCATACTGTTAATTGAAGGGGATATCTAGGCAGTGGTTTAGTTATTACTATCTGGTAATCTTTGCTGCGATTTTTTATGTGATGCCCAATGGGTTTGATCTGTTTTGACTTGGGAGCGCAATTGTAGAATAGTGGGAGGAACCGGATTCAAATTAGTTCCTTGAGAAAGGGGATTAAGATGAATACATGCAAAAATGTCCTTTCTTCCTCTTTGATGCATGATTATTGGTAATTGGTATGTCTCTTTAAGTTTTGCATGGAGGTTATGATTGTTTGTTGTTCAAGGGTTCTTGTTGATGAGGAAATTTGGAAGTTTTGGTATATTACTTGACTCTTTCATCCTTTGCTGATGTAGTTAGAACTGTTTTTTGCCTATGAATTTCTTGGAGAGCTTATGTTTTTGGGCCCCAACTGATCTTTTTGGGTAAAGAAAAAAGGGGGGAAACCCATTCCTTGCTAGCACTTCGGTCAATAAAACTGTTGTTTTAGAGGAAGGTTCTTGGATTTAGTGGTGTGGTGGTTGGACTTGTGACTATATGATGATAATGTTTTTATAAACAATATGGAAATTTTGAGATAAATCTAATCAAAGGTGAATGCAAATTTCTTCATACCGACAAGTAGCTTGAGCAAGTAACTGAGTGGACAAGATGGACCTTGAGAAGAACTGAATGGAGAGCAAGCACACTGGAACTTAGAATCTAACAATTAAAGGCCTAGTTGTTGTTCTTCTTCAACAGCTTTATTCTTCATTCAACAAATCTTTTTATTATAAGAAAGTAAGTTTGTTTCAATACGTAAAATAGCCAAAAGTCTTTGAAGAGCTATAGGGGCTACAACATCAAATATTTTTTTCTTGTAATGATAAACATACTCCTCTCATCTGACTGCCTACATGAGCACAAGGCAATTGGAAAACTATATCATGTTGTTAATCAGTAAAATTAGCAAAGTACGGGAAGGTAAATGTGAAATTAACTGAATAATGCAAATGGAAAAGACATGGGAGTTTTGTATTTCTCTAACCCATGTTTGTTTAAGAGACAGTAGCGGCGAGGGAAACAGAAGATGGTTCATATTTGCTTTTCATAAGAACCTCTCATAGATATGACACATATTTTTATCAGTTCCATGATTCCATCCTTGCATCATTTTGCTGAAGTTTAAATCCAAATACAGTTAAGTGTGCTATTGTATATCCATTACTTATGATGTTTGTTTCAGCTGCTGTCCACCTTGAGAATATTATAAGATGGTGTATCGTATGAGTAGCTCCCTACTACATTCTAAGAGTCCGTGAGATATATTCAGAAGAAATAGACATATACATCTGTGTAGTCGTGTTTGGATGATTTCAAGCAATTCTTGTGTTCGATTGGTGGGCATCCCTCTGAGAGTATATAACACCCATGTTCATGTGAGATTATGCATTGAATGAACGTGTCAATGTATGAAACCCTTCCCATCTTGGACCTCAACCATCCTTTGTGGAATAGATGGATAGAGCCATAAGCCACCTATTTGTGTGTTTAGGCTTGGAATGGTTTGACTCGTAGAGTTTGTGCGAGCTTTTGGCTTACTTTCAATCGTATTTGCCTAATTTTACACTGGAATGCTAGTGTAGTCTGGTTGGCTATGTTTAGTGGGTGTTGCTCAGACATAAATCTCTTTTCTGTCTGTCTCACTGTGTTGGGTTTTATAGTGCTTATCAAATATGAAAATATGTCATGTGCTAGAAGGGAATTTGTTTTGCAACCTGCATGCTTTAAAACGCATTGGTAAACTCCCAACTTACTTGTAAAGTAGTTTAACATTGAACCATAAAATATTTAAAGCTAATTTCTGCCATTAAATATTTTGAGGAATCTTTCCTTTATATCCTCATGCATGTGGTTATCCCTTTTTCCAATTGTAGATTCTTTTATCTTGGTTGATGACAGAGATGACCACATTGTTTGTGAAAATTCATATGCAAAAGTAAATGGCTCCATTATAAGATCTGATATAACATGATCTTTGCCTCTCTATCCTTGGAACATAAAGATGATCAGGCTCATAGTCAGGACAAGTATTATAACCATAAGATCACAGCACTCAAACCATAGACGCAAACTGTGGTCTTCTTTTTCCACTCAAAAAGAGCACATTTTGCATCTAGCATAAGTAAATTGTATTTGGTAGCCAACAAAGGTTTTCTGGAAAATGTTTCTTCTTATAACATGCTAAATAGGCATTTCATGTATATAGTAGTACTATAAGCCCCATGATATGCCAGATGAGCATGGAAGTGGATGGCGCACGGTGCCGCCCCATGATCCCGTTGTCAAAGACGCAGCAAATCATGCTGTGAAGACCATCCAGCAGAGATCCAACTCCCTTGCTGCTTATGAACTGCTTGAAATCCTTCATTCAAAAGCAGAGGTTGGCTTTTACCTGCCTCCTCCGATTCTTTCTGCTCATTTTATAGGGTTAATCTCGTAGCCCCCCCCCCCTCCCCCGCCCGGGCGGCGGGTACTATGGTTTTTTGGCACATAAACCTCCTGAACTTTTTGTTCTCGTGGAACCCTTTGTGGGTGTCTTAAAGAACTCCATGAACTATAAACTTTTTTCATAGTATCCCCCACCTGTGATTGCAAATAACTAAATGTCCTTGAACGGTAGAACTCTCAACTGTGTGGGGGGTGGGGGGTGGGGGGGGTCGGGAGTGGAGTACATTGGGCCCTTCTAATTGGGAAATACCAAAAAAAATTGGTTTTTTTGGGTGTTTTTCTGTTTTTATTTTTTATTTTTTGGGATTATTTGCCAATTATAAATGGGGGCTGATTAGGAAACTTTAAAGTTCAGGGACTTTTGTGAGACACCCAAAAGTTGAGGGATTTTTGTGAAACTAACCCTTCCAGAAACCGTTATGTCTTCTTTTTTTCTCTATAAAACAACTAGTTTTCTACCCTTGGTAAGAGACCCAGGAATGCAGAAAACTAATTTTAGACCTCTTATTGATTCTTTTCAGATGATTGAAGACCTAGCTAAGTTCGACTTGCTTCTTAAACTGAGGAGAGGAAGCAAGGAGGAGAAGTATAAAGTAGAAGTGCACAAGAACCTGGAAGGGAACTTCCAGTTGTATCAAATGCAAGAGGAGCTTTAAAAACTCTGTTTATCAATAATTGTGTAATAAGCTGTTATTTTGACTATGCTACTTGTGATATGTGGAGTCATGATGTGAAAATAATGAGTGCTTCCGGTGCTTGCTATGCTATGTAGACGAGCTTAGTGCTCTTAATATAGTTCTGTTACGTGGTTATGTTTTACCCTTTTGTGGTGTTGGGTGGTAATGCGCTTGATGATCTGATACCATTAGAAACTTTGGACAGTAGCTCTGTAGGCATGATCGATGGGCTGTTCGCTTCTTGTGGCCTGATGCAGAGAAAACATGCTAATTTTACGGTGATTACTGCGTTTTGATGACCAATAGGTTGCTTGGGCTCTGGATCTCTCTCCGAAATACTACTCAAATGCCTTGAAACTTCTTATGTTGATAGACATCGTTCATTATTTCCCACGACTTCTGCATTTTGATGTTTGTTCTGAATTTTTTTTTTCTCTTTCATAGAACATGCTTATGATCCATTGTGCGGAATCAAAACTCAAACCTCTTAACAGTATATGCGTGGAGAGAGACGCCAAGGATATACGCTTACTCTAATCTGCAATCATTGTATCTTACATGCGTATCGATTGATGGATGTGCAAATTGCACCTACACCCTCAATAGGACAACTTATAAAGTAAGAACAATTACATTTTAATTATGTTTTCCTTGGCATATAGCACCAATGACAATAAAATATTGATACTAACCAAGCATATACGTTTTATAATATCCAGGTCCTGTCCGTTGAGACTATCAGAAGGAGGAGAGAAAAGAGAAAAGGAAAGGATGAAAAAAAACTTCAATTGAATGAATATTGAACAGTGTGGACACATATTACTTATCATATTCAAATATAATAAAGTTCAGGTAACATATTCATTTAAGGTTCATCTACCGATACAAGGTATGATATTTTCAATAGGACGAATTCCAAAAAATAAAATGTTCTGACACGAAGAGATGGCCATATCTAACCAGTAACAGGGCTCCAATTCCAACAACTGGAACCTCAACAGCCGCAATATCTCACAAACATTCATTTTCATATCCGTATGGTACATAAACAACACCCTAATATTGGTAAATGATTCGTCTGTTTGGTTCATAAACAACACCTTAATATTGGTAACCTTAATATTGGTGAAGGATTCATCTGTTTGGTACATAAACAACACCTTAATATTGGTAAAGGATTCATCTGTTTGATACATAAACACAAGGTTACGCCATACTCCTTCGGAGGAAAAAGAAAAGTACAACGAGACACGGTAAGTAATAATTACATGCATACAGACTCCTCTCTTCTGAGATAACAGCTATCAAGTGCTTCCAAAATAATTAAAAAAAACAATAGAAAGCACTCACCTGCTGTCAAAAACCTGGAGGGAAAACGATCCAACCTAATTATAGGGCTTCATTACATTAGCAACCTAACAGAAGGTGGAAGGTCTGCTGGTAAAAGAAAAAACACTTCCATTTCTGTTTCCAATCCTTTGCTTTTGTCAGCTATTTCTTTTCATAAACGTTATTTTTGGGCTCGGAACAGGTTGAAAACGATCATTCACAGTGGAGTTTAGATCATTCTCAGAACCTGGCACAAGTGTCACCTGCAAAGCAAGACCTCAACATCAACAATTGCACCGAATCACCAAACCTGAATTCTTAGGCCGAGGTACAAATAATCAAAGAGAAGATGTAAATCTTATGCTAAATGAAACTATTTCCAAGTACAACATCCATCACCTGATATTTTAATGGCTTATATATCTCTGTCGCATTTTTTAAATTTTCAGAGTCAGATAGCAACTCAGCTTATAACCAGTAATATGCTTTAAATCTCATCACTACTTGGTTCGGCTCCTCTTAAGAGTTTATGCTCGTCATTTTCTGACACCAGTCCAATTAGATTCCACTACTCATTACAAACTATCATGAAGATTCAAAATATAATAATAAGATTTGTTCGTACTCTTGCTTTTTCGAACATTACTATTTTGCCCTTTAATTTTTCAAACTATAATAGTATGTGTATGTACGTGCTTGTATGTCTCTATGTTCCTCTGTGAGGGTATGGGTGTGTGGGTGTATGTATAGAGAGACATACAAAGGGCATCTCTTGGATTCTTCAAGAAGAATTTGGATAGAGATGTAAAGAATAAAGTAACGATCATAGGTTCCTTATCTTTTTTAATCTAATGCATCTTTTATAGTTAGGCTCAAGAAATTAAGAGTAATTTTCATATCACTAACCTCATAATTGAGCAGTAGCGATGCAAAAAATGTTGAAATTCCCAGAACTGAAAATTCCTTGCCAAGACAGGCTCGTGAACCAGAGCCAAAAGGAAGATATGCTGCATTTTTGTATGGCTCCAAGATCCCATCTTCCTGAGACCTCCCTGAAATAGAGGATAAATCTACTTACAACATAGCTGAAAATACTTGCATCGTTGGGGGAAAAAATCAAAATGCTTTTCAACAGTTCACTCTAATGTGAAGCTAACAAATAGTTGATAGTTAGGAATAAAGAAAAAAGTATATAGATGCATATAGCAATTGTATACTAACATATATTTTGTACTTGTACAATTGAAGGCGTTTGTGCCAAATTTTTTTAACATATAGCATATTTTATCGTGTAAAATTAATTTGAAGCTCTCGCATAACAATAAGGTAATATAAAAAGAAGGTAGATGAGATCTAATATAACAATTCCATAACGCCTCAAAAGAAACAAAGTGATAATTGCGCATCCGAAGCAATATGAATGTAATTTCCAATATTTCAATATAACAACTTAATTTAAACATTTCAAAACCAAGACATGCTATTCATTAAATAAAACTAAACTACAGGCTTCAGAAATGCCACTTCAAACATCTATCAACATAATCACGTCTTATATTCAGAGGAATGCTTATTCAAGAAATAATTGTGGTTCAATCATATGTATTCATGAAGGTTACTTACACTTGACGTCTAAAAATATGTCATAGAGGTTAAGAAAATCTCTGCTGGAGAGAGATGAATAACCACGTTAAAGATTTTAGACAATTTCCCATAAATCTTAATATTGTTTTAGTTGCTTAGCATATTAGACATCTAAAATCGAAGGTATTGAGAGTTTAAGATATTTCGATTAATAAGAGAATCAATAGCTTATTATCTTGGAGTGGGGCGAAAACACACACACACAGTGACAGCTATGAACATGAATAAATTCAGAACAAACAGAGCACACAGTCTATACAGAAACAAGCTCAAGAATTTCATAAAAGATCAATATAAAAAACCAATAAAGCAGTAGTACCCTCTTGGTCAATGGAATCCACAACAAAGCGATGTGGGTTAAAATGGCCGGCATCCTCACCCCAAATTGAGCTGTCCATCTGCACCAGCTCTAAAGGAACAACCAGAATTGCTCCTGCTGGAACAGTTATATTCCATTTGAGATGCAAATCTGCATGTTGAAGAAGTGAATGAGATATGACAAAAAGAAGTCATAGCAAAGGCATGACAATCAACCTTTGCTCATATGATCTGATTCAGAAAGTGTAATTTGCACCAAAATATGTAGCAGGCATGTTCCTACTAAGGCAAGTGATGCATGTCAATGGAAGGAAGTTTTGAAAGTTAGAAATGTGATTCCGGCCAGGGCGGTGTGTTGCTACTTGTTAGTCAAACCTCTCTCTTCGTCTAGTAAATACCCAGCGAAAGATTTCACTTATATCACAAGCTCTATGATCTGAATGTTGGTGCTGCTGGTCCTTTTTGGTCTGGGGCCCTCCAACTATGCCTAAGCATGGGATAATTGAATGGTTGGCAGCAAAAGGAAGGCTTCTCACTCAGGATAAACTGTTGAGGATGTGAGTTATTAGGAGCAAATAGATGTTATTTGTGCTTGAATGAGGAGGGATTGCTTGATCATTTGTTTTTTCAGTGTGATTTCTCTTCCTCCGTGTGGAGCTTGATCATGGCCTAGAACATGTTTACATCCTATCCCTCTATGTGGCGTGAAGTTCTTCAATATGGAGAGTGCTGAAGAGTAGGAGCGGAGTTGTTGAGAGTGAAGTTTTAAAGGCAAGTGTGTTGGGATTTAATGCCCGAGATCAAATACAAACGCCGTTCAAGAAGGACAAACAAACCAAAGAATGACACAAACACAAACAACCAATATTTACGTGGTTCGGCAATCTTGTCTACGTCCACGGGAGCGGCACCAATTAATTTCTTATTAATAACAAGAAATTACAAATAGAGAGAGGATCTCAAACTTAAGATCTCCAAAACAAATAGCAAATGATTTAATCTAAAATCAATGCTCAAACTCTCTCTCTCACTAACCCAAATAAAACCCCTCTTTTATTCACCAACAACCTCTTCTCAATTAATGAGAACAGGACCAATTTGGCTTCACAAATGCAGACGACAAAGAGGAGCTTCAGCTCCGTTCTCTCTCTTTCTCAACTCTGCTGCCGCCGCCAGCTATGGAGTTTTCAAAGCCGCTCCCTGTCGCTCAAAGGGGTTTCAATGCCGCTCAACCTCTGCACGAGAATATGGTTTCCCTTTTATAGGGAAACCCTAGGGCAATCGAGCTCAACAGCTGGAGCTAGCTGTTCACCACTCGCAGGCGAGCCCGACTCCTCAACAGGCGAGATCCAACACTTCTGGCGAGCTCCCAAGCTACAGGTGTTTGTGAAAAAATTTGCAGTAAAAGAAATGAAGGAAATTTAATTTGTATTTCTTTAATCTCAGTTACAATTGGATTTCCTGATTACAAAAGAAAGGAGAATGAATTTGATTCTCCACTTTGTTTAATTCTGGGTTCTTCACGGTGGCGATAGAGTGCTTTCTTCGAATGTTTGCGTCGAGTTTGCTCTCCGTTGACGATCCGAACGTCTTGATTCACTGGAACGTGGTCTTCTCCTCACGATTTGATGTTGTGGAGAACTCTGAAAGAGTTTGAAACTCTATGAAATAGTTGATTTAACCGAAATCGGTCTATAAGCCAAGGATGAAGAAAGCTCCTCTTGCTGATCCCCAAAGCTCCAGCAATTCCCCCCAAAAGATCTCTTCTTTGCTGCCAAAAAGAAGGATCAAAGATCCCGGATCCGAACTAAGCTGATTTCTTAGTTATTTATAAGGGATTAAGGGGTGTAACCGCCCCCTTAATTCGCTCCTAAGTGGGGCTAATGGGATGTAACTGCCCCTTAAATCACTCCTGAGTGGAGTTGTGATCCCCTCAGATCGTGGGAAACGGTTTTGAAACCGCTCAGCTCGTGTTTGAACGAGTCAAACGCAAAATCCGCGTTCTGACGTGAATTCTGTGTTCAAACGCAGCGTCTGGAAGCTCGTTTGCAGCGTTTGAAAGCTGCGTTTGTAGCACTTGGAAGCTGCGTTGGCATCTTGTTGGAAGCTGTGTTTGGCAGCTTGGAAGCTGCGTTTGGCAGCGGATGGAAGCTGCGTTTGGCAGCTTGTCAGAAGCTACGTTGGCAGGATTTAAGAGCTACGTTTGGCAGCGGATAGAAGCTGCGTTGGCAGCTTTGGAGGCTGCGCTTGCGGCCGAACATGAGCTACGTTGGCAGCTGGGTCTGAGCTGCGTTTGGAGCTGAATGTGAGCTACGTTTGCACTGCGTCAGCTGCTGTGAACACGGTGCGTCTTGATGCTGGTATGCGGGGAGGACTTCCGCGTCTTGATTTGAAGAGACCGTCGATTTGTAGTTTCTTTCTGTCAAAGCGTTGCAAAGATCGTCATTTTATAATCTTTGCTTTAGCTCTTTGATATGTGAGAGTTATCAGATTGTAACTCCCGATGTTGATTGTGAAGGCTGTTGATTGGAGCTTTCATCAGTTATTGTGAAGATCGTCAGATTGTAACCTTCATCGATCTATGTGAAAGTCTTCAAATTGTAGCCTTCTGGAAGTCGTCCGATTGTAACTTCCATCATCGGTGTTTGATGGGGAATCAGCTATCTATTGTGATTTTTAGACAGCCTACAACAGGCGAGGTATCAATTCCAATCAACAGGCGATCCATGCTCGCCTCACTCAACCTCACCTCCAGGCGAGTCCTTCGCCTGCACAACCCTCGCCCGAGCGCCCTCGCTTGCACGACCTCGCCATTAGGCGAGCTCTCCTCGCCTGTCGAAGCCCGCGCCCAAGCTCCGCTCCTCGCCTCTGTCTTCGCCTCGAGGACCGCCGTCATCGGAGGGTCGTCGGAGGTGAGTCCTTCTACAAATCTTCACCTCGGCCAAGTTTTCCAAAATTGAGCCGACACCAACCAAACCAAATGTCCCACTTGTTGCGTCCAGTACGAAGTAAAATAATTCACGATAACGGACTCAATCCACAACAAGTCAGGAACCCAAATGAGAATGAGACCACTCTTCAAACGTCGGTATCTACTCACCAAATCGGCTGCATCATAAATGATTGTCTACGTATCCTCTTACCTAAGGAATCAAGCCTTCACGTAGTTCACCAAATGGCCTCCAAAGGCCCTCAATCAAATAGAAGAGTTCTCAACTCTTCACCAACAAATCTGCGGCTGATAGAACTCCAAATGACCCCAAAGTGTAATGAACCAAACACCTCCACCTGAGGTGAACCAATGACCATATCCAAACTACATCTACCAGCTACACTCGAATCAAACCACTCATCATCTGCATCCAAAAAACAAATGATTCACAAACTGTCACATCAACTGGAATCCCAATTAATGCAGTATGATCCGGAGTATGTGGAGTAGCATCACTCTCCACCCGCTACGATATCCCAATGATCTGATCAACACTCTCCACCTGTCGAGAGTCCAATGTGACATACCTGCTCAGAACAAAAAAATCAGAAGCTCCCAACTGATAGCCAAACGAGCCTCTGAAGCCCAAACGTGTAATCGGATCAAATCTCACATCCACGATGTGACCAAGTACTGGGTAGCCAAACATTCGATGCAACCTAAAATCTGAAACAGCTCCACCAGATCCAAAATCTCCAAACACAGCAGTTGACAACCTATGACGAAGATGACCCAAACATGTCGAAGCCCGAACACCAAAGCCAATGCTCGACATCAAACGCCGATCCTCCTCCAGCAATGAACAGCTCACCAAATCTGTCATCTCATCTCGTCGTCCTAATATTTTCTCTCTAATAAAATGTCTCAAACTGTCATGAGCTCGGCACAAACGCAGAAAAGAACGGATTACCTTTCTGCCAATACATTTCCTCAAACTGTTGTTGACTACTAGGACTTCAAACCAACGGGACTTGGTTACAACCCATAAATACCTAGTACAATCCCTAACATAGGAAACCAAATATCGATTACCTTCTAATGATGCCTCTTTGGAAGGCCCCCAAATGTCTGACTAAACACCACCTAAAAGACCCCTCGATCAATGGATAAAAGTACCAAACTCAACCTCGGTCTTCTTGCTCATCCTAATGTGCTCAAAGGACTTTAATCTGCAGATCATAGCATTTCTCATCAATCCATGCATGACATGGCCAATCAAATACCCCAGCATCAAACAACGTCACAGTTTAGCCCCCAAAGAAGTCGTCAGCTCTCTATCAATCACTGTGCTCCTAAGCAAATAATACAAATTGTTCCTTCTGACGCCCTTCATCACAATCATGGACCCCACTGTGACCTTCAAACGTGCATCAACCAAGATCACTCTATAGCATGTTGCCTCCAAAGCTCCAATTGAAACAATGTTCTTCTTCAACTGAGGAACGAACCTCACTTCATCCAACTCCCGTATCACTCCGTCACTCATCTGAATACGAACGGTACCGATACCACTAATAGGGTATTCGTGATCATTACCCATGAGCACGTCATCCCCTCTTTCCAACTCCTGAAAGCTGGAGAACTAATTCCTCCTAGGACAAATATGATAAGAAGCACCCGAATCCAACATCCACTCAGTGGAGTCGACAATACAAACTAACGGTAGTGCATATAATGAGTAGCCCGAAGAATCTGAATCTGAATTGTCGCCCTTAGCCCTGACAACATTCACCTCTGAAGCTTGAATAGCTTTCCCCCTATTCTTCCCGGCTCGATCATTTAACTTTGGGCATTCGGCTTTTCAATGTTCATCTTCTTTGCAAAAGACACATTGGTTCCTACGAACTCCAGAATGTGCCCTCTAGACTGTGACCTCCTACCTCGGTTTGAACTCTTTGCTCTTGCGACCAATGTCCCCGCTACAGACTCAACAGAAGTCTCCTTATCCTTCTTTCGAAGTTGATAATTCACAAGTGCAGCGATGACCTCACTATACGAAATAGATGTCTTCCCATTAATAAGAATAAGGACGAATATCTCATATTCCTCGTCAGGCAAGGAACTCAACAACAACAACGCCTTGTTCGCATCTTCTATCATCACATCTATATTCGTCAAATCCGCAAGAAGTTTTGTGTAGTGGTTCATGTGATCACTAATGGAGGTCCCATTCTTCAATTGAAAGCGATAAAATCTCATCTTCAAATGCAAGCGATTTTTTACACTTTTCGTCAAATACTTGCTCTCTAGGACCTCCCAAATCTTCTTAGTCGAAGTCTCATTCATCACATCATATTTTAGATCTTGAGTGAGACAAGACCTAATCACACCACACGCCGTTCTATTATTCTTCTAAACCCTTTCATCAATGTCGTCCGGTTTCCCGTCCAACTCCAAAGTATCTTTCAAATTTTACGCGTTGAGCGCATCCAAGACTTCACATCGCCAAAGTCCAAAATTGTTAGTGCCATTAAACTTCTCCACGTCTATCTTCATATAGTAGATATTCAAATTTTGGACGATCTTCACACCGGAAGAACCCTCCACAACTCCTTTCCCGACCATCTATCTCAAAAGCACCAACAACTAATACGGAACAAACGACGAATAGATCCAAACTGATAAAGAGAAATTTTTAACTCCAACTGGAACTCTAACAAGAGCCTCCAAAAGATCTCACCCCACACGACGGTAGACAAGATCATCAATAGTAAAAATCCCATCTTTATCATCAAACGAAGCCCTAGACGAACTTCCAAAGCGATTTACTCCTCCAAATAGCCCAAGCGTAGCCCAGAGCTCTGATACCACTTGTTGGGATTTAATGCCCGAGATCAAATACAAACGCCGTTCAAGAAGGACAAACAAACCAAAGAATGACACAAACACAAACAACCAATATTTACGTGGTTCGGCAATCTTGCCTACGTCCATGGGAGCAGCACCAATTAATTTCTTATTAATAATAAGAAATTACAAATAGAGAGAGGATCTCAAACTTGAGATCTCCCAAACAAATAGCAAATGATTTAATCTAAAATCAATGCCCAAACTCTCTCTCTCACTAACCCAAATAAAACCCCTCTTTTATTCACCAACAACCTCTTCTCAATTAATGAGAACATGACCAATTTGGCTTCACAAATGCAGACGACAAAGAGGAGCTTCAGCTCCGTTCTCTCTCTTTCTCAACTCTGCTGCCGCCGCCAGCTATGGGGTTTTCAAAGCTGCTCCCTACCGCTCAAAGGGGGTTTCAGCGTCGCTCAACCTCTGCACGAGAATAGGGTTTCCCTTTTATAGGGAAACCCTAGGGCAATCGAGCTCAATAGCTGGAGCCAGCTGTTCACCACTCGCAGGCGAGCCCGACTACTCAACAGGCGAGATCCAACACTTCTGGCGAGCTCCCAAGCTACAGGCGAGGTATCGATTCCAATCAACAGGCGACCCATGCTCGCCTCACTCAACCTTGCCTCCAGGCGAGTCCTTCGCCCGCACAACCCTCGCCCGAGCGCCCTCGCTTGCACGACCTCGCGAGTCGAAGCCCGCGCCCAAACTTCGCTCCTCGCCTCCGTCTTC